TTCTTCTGGGCTCATGAGAAAGCTTTGAAATTAGAGAGAGGAGGTGATTGCACAACATTTTGAATACACTAAATGCCACTGAATTGTACACTTTAAAATAATTAATGTTATGTGAATTTCACCTCAATATTTAATAAATGTTATAACATAATCTTATATTTAATATAATCCTTTTTATTTTTTAAAAATGCTGATATACATGAGAGCAAAATATGTTAGTTCATACCTCAATACAGTAAAGATGATTATCAATGAACAATCTGAAATCAGATCATTTTAATCATTTTCTCTATGATTAAACTGTTTTTTAAATTTTTCATTAATTTCAAAACTTTACTACATGTTAAAAGTTTTAATAACTAGGAACAGAGACTACAGTCTCATTGAATAAGATTTTTAAGAACACAGGAAAATTCTTACATAATAGTGTTAAGTGAAGATTTTAAAAAGTAATATTGTATATAAAATATATATAACATTGTATATATAGCATGATCCCAAGTACTTAAAATGCACTTCTTATGGTAACACTAGTGACCCAGCACACGAAATCCAATGGCCCGCACATCTGCGTGCCCCACCCAGCCACCCTCTACCCCACCTTGACACCCTAATCTCTCCACCCAGAGCTCAAGTGCACCTGGCCCCATCCCTGACCCTTCCAACTTTCTCTGGCTGCTTCAAGTCCCACCCTTGGTCCCACGAGTCACCTCAGGATGATCCCACCTCCTCAGGGTGCCTCCTCACTTCCGCCCCATCAGCTCCACCCCATCATGGCCCTGGAGGAGATCTTGGAAGCCTCCTGCCTGCTGCGCAGTTTCAAGCGCCACTTCCTGGCAGTGAGCACTGTGCTGGTTCCCCTGGCAGATGGGTGGCAAGTATGCTGAGTGCAAGCGGTGGGTGGTGAAGAACTGGTGAGTGGGGCACTATGGGCTCTCACCCCGCCCTCCCTGCCATAGGATGATTCTGCCTCCTTCAGGAACCTCCCTGCTTCCTCCCCATCCCCGAAGCTATGAGGTGGCAGCCATGCAGCCTCCTCCTGATCTGTTGTTACAGCATGACAGTGGCAGGACCATTAGCATATTAACTCTTTCTGATATAGGATTGTGTTGGGGGTTTGGGCAAATTGGTGACATTTTCCTTTTCTACTTTCCAAATTTTCCTCTTCTTTAAATCAAAGTATCACTTTATTAATTGTGTCATTTTATAAAATATGAACATCAATATAATTATAATTGTAAAAAAAGATTTATGAAAAGAATGGACTGATTTTCATATTTCCAAATTAGAGTCAACTGTACATCTACACAGAACTATCTGCATAAAGCCCAAAAAGTCACAGCATGAAATGAGAGATCCTGTAGCCCCTTTATTTTTGCTGATTAACAGTTTTGTAGAAAAGCAATTTCAGATTTTCACCTAAGGTCTGAGACAGTAGAAGCAGAAGATTCAGTCTTAGCAGAAATATGCCAAAACAAGAGCTGGACAAAAGAAGAAACAAAAGAAGAAACTAGAAGCTGCTGCCTAAGCTGCCTTAATAGACACCTGCGCTCTCTGCAGGATGCAAGGCCAACTTTTCTTAATGAGCACTGTCATCAGAAAGGTTCTATACTTTGTAAATGTCTACTATGAGGCAGGCTGACTTAAACAAGGAGAGGTTTACAGTGTAGGTGGTATGACAAGGAAGACGTTGACACTGAAATTATGTATTTTGATACATAATATTCCTCATAGAAAAATTGTAAAAAACAGAAAACATAAAGGTGGAGATTTTAATTACCAGACTGTAACTACTAAGAGAAGCTTAGTCAATCTTAGAACAGAATTGGGCAAAGGCCATTTAGAAGCAACGGTCCTTCACTGTGTAGTGAGATCATCAACATAATTTGCTTAGCAAGTGTGAGCCCCTTGTGTGCCAAGCCTGCTCTAGCAGAAGTGTGGCTCTGCACAGAGCCCAGAGGACACTGAAAGGACAATTATTGCTCTTTGGTTGACAAGCACGCTTTCTCACTTCACTGGATATTGACAATTTAGCAACCTGAACTTCCGTTAGGAAAACAGCCCTTTCCACTCCTAGTTCATGTGGTTTGGGTGGGACTGAACCCAACCAAACCAAAGTTAGAATGACCTAGGGCCTAGGCTAAGCCAATCAGTGGGTTCAACTACAAGGGCCACAATGATTCCTTACGCTAGGCCAATACATGTCAAGGACAGTACTTTGGTTAAAAATGTTGACAAGACAGATGGATTCTATCACTGAGCATTTGCAAATAAAAACAAATGCTCAGTGATAGAAGCTGTGATGATGAATGTGTTGCTATATAGGTTTATGGTGGCCATGCCCTGTGCCTCACTCTACCATGGCCCTTCCCACTCAGTACTCTGCTCTCTGATGTTTCTGTCACTCCCATCAGATGGTCAGCTCTTTCTAAAGCAGCGATTTTCAACCAGTGTCCACAAGAACTTTTAAAACATGCAATACCAGACTATTTAGTCACCGTCACTAACCTATTTTCCCTTAGGTCAGCAAATAAAAAATGACAATAGCCAACACACAAAAGACATCTGGTGTAAATGTCTTGTCTTAAACTACAAATATAGAGGTCATATAATAAAGTTGCATCTTATTGGTCCCCTTGAATAACGTGGTTGTGTCTGATTGGTAAATTCTTAGTACCAACAATTCTTATATAGAAGTATAGGAACCTATTTTTTTAAAGTCATTTTGGAAAAAAAGGGTAAGCAAATATATATTTTTGTAAATCAATAAAAGTTTTACCTCTCTTTTTGTTAGGAAAAAAGTATATTTTTAGTGTACCACAAAATTTTAGTGATTAGTTTATGTGTGTCATGATATTAAAAAGGTTGAAAATTCTGCTCTAAAGGAATAAGATAAAACTCTGCTATGTATGCATTGGACAGAGAAGGGCCAAAACACACATGGGCAGTATGCATTGGACAGAGAAGGGCAAACACACACATGGGCAAAGGAAATTATCCTGATGGAGTTAGTAGCATGGAGATGAGGCACTGGTTGTTCTCTCACTGGGGACTCAATTTTCAGGGATCCAGGTACCTCTACTCGTTGATATCACATCACAATGGCCCCACCTTGTACCCTTGGGTTCCTGCAGTCTGCTCTAATGTCTGCTCTGAGTCAACAGCTGTGGGTACTGATGTGGTCACTGCATACTTCTCACACAACCACCCAGAGACCATCATCAGGCAGGAGGTGTTGGGGCGGAGATGCTTCATAGAAAGCCTTCTGGGATGAAGTTCTACAAAACCAGAGGGGGACTCGGGTCTTAGAGCCCACCCACACTTCCTTCCTCTTCTGGGCATAAAAACAGAGCACAGAGAACCACCAGCAGCTCCGACCTGAGCAGCCTTCCTGGGAAGATGCAGCCCCCCCTGCTCGTGCTCCTGCTGGCCTTTTTCCTGCTCCCCTCGGCAGAGGCAGGTGAGTGACCATCCCCACCCTCACAGGCCCAACCCATCCACAGTGGACACAGACCTCCTGGCCCTTCTGCACATCCCTGGTCCAGCTCTCCACCGGGAATGCTCTGAACCCAGCTCTCATCCCATCTCAGAC